CCCCAAAACCCCAAAACCCCAAAACCCCAAAACCCCAAACTGTTACGACTAAACTGAACTTTAATACTAATTTCAGAACTAAAATTTAAGTTCAATCAGGGCACACTCTATCCATCCTAGCATAATGCATTGATAGTGAGGCAATGCAATGAATTCCTGATGCAACCATAATCAAAAGGTGCCAGATGTTATGGCTCTGTCCTCAGTGGTCGAAGGTGCAAGGATACCATCTTTCTGGAACTTTCTTAACATAAATGTACGATCCAAAAATTGAAATAATGTTACCGCTAAACCACCATGGTGCTGCACCATAGGAGTATAACGGATTCGTGATGAATAATGAATGGAAAATAGCAATACAACATATGACGCCGAATATTATGAACAGCCAGACTCTCAGAGCTCTGTATTTAGTCTGGTTAAACTTAGGGTGAAAAGTCAGAATCGCTATTAATAATGAATTCAAATTTGCCAAGCCGATGTAGATATAAGCGATATAGAAGGTCTGCTCACAATAGAATATATAAAAGTTCATAGTAAAGTTCATTCCAAGAGCAAGAAACAAGATACCAAAGCTGTCACATTTATAGAAGAAATGGAATACTTTTTCGCTATGACACATGAAAACATGATGCGAAGTGCTGCATGCCATTCAGATTACTCCTCCAAGGTAATGAAGTATCAAAGGGAAGATCTCACTATTTTCCTCTCTTAAGTGTTCTACATTATACCCAAGAATCTTTTTGACGAAGTATTTATGATATCTGACTAAGGCTCCTTGACTTCCATCAAAGTTTCTTAATTCTTCTGTGGTGGGCATCAAATAACACACATAGTACGAAAGGAAGATATACATGAAAATACCAACGAGATGAGTCCATATATTCATTGTTTCGTTGTGAATAGAGAAGATAGACTTGAAGCAGTCTTTGAAACTAGTATATCCAATCCTGTAGCCAGTCTTAATGTAGATTAAATATTTATTGTGTTCTGGAGCTTCATGGAGCAATCCAATTTTCTTTCCATAACTACCTCTCTCTTTCTCAAGGGATAAAGTGTACTTTCCTTTTCCCCCACTATCTTTCAAAGTCATTGTCATACTACCTTTCCTTTGGCTTTCATTACCGCTTGCATGTCTCAAGTAAGGTTTCGAATCTATTGGCATTCTCCAGAATAAATTTTCTATAATTTTTAATTAACCTGGGGTTTTGGGGTTTTGGGGTTTTGGGGTTTTGGGG